AAGAACTAGAATCAGTAAAAAGCATCTGCAAACAATTTTATCATTAAATGTTAATTGATTTTTAAATGAAAATGATATTTTTAAACGTTATCGCATATAAACCGTATATTTTACTTAATCACTCTAGTTTATTATCAGTTTTTTGTTCTTTAAGTAGTTACTTCTAAGGAGTAATTTTAAGTAGATACTCTAAAGGAAATCATTATATATCATCACTATTTCTACTATCATCATCATTCTGCATGCAAAAAATGCAGAATGATGAGCATTGTAGAAATAGTGATTATATATAATGATTTTCTTTATTAAAAACATAATTCTTAACATTGGTAAACTTAAAATAAAATATTCTAAAATCAAAAGCAAAACATGGGTCAGAAGTAACTACTTAAAGAACAAAAAAACTGATAATAAACTAGAGTGATTAAATAAAATATACGGTTTATATGCGAAAATGTCTAAAAATCTGATTTTYATTTAAAAATGAATTAACATTGAAGAATAATTTTTTTGCAGACGCTTTTTACATGTTCTAGTTCTTCGCGCGTTTATGATAGCACCCGCTTTAGAAAATAATCTATAGCATTTTGCTTCACAATAACATTAAATAATCCACAATAACAACAAACAGAAATTCGTGTTTGGCAAACCTGTACGAAGTATTGCTCGAGTTAATTTGTTAACTTAAACCAGCAGTTTTGTACATTTTCTAGTGGCAGAATACCTTTTCTGCAGTTAAAGTGTGGTGGAAATTAAAAGGTCCCCATATTCAAAATTTTCACATTTTTTTTCACACCTAAGAATTTCGTTTCACCACCAAGCACCGAAATGGTTTTTGTTTTTATAGGTTATTGACTTTCAATTGTAATAGATTCTTCACTTACCGTAGGTTTGTATCACTACGCATAACTTTTTAATGAAGGTATTGTTCAAATCGTTGAAAATAAAAAAAATCTATAAATCTATAATCTAATAATTTTCAAAGTATTCATTCGCGCCGTTTTAAAAAGAAAAACCTGATTTAGTAAAAAGAGGTTTGTGTCGCATCGCTTTTTTTCCGAAATTTGGTTTTACATCAAAACATTAGTTAATATTAAAAAGGTATTATCAAATTAGTACTCGCAAATGACGTCATCACTAGTATAAAATATTAAATATTATATATTAAAATAGACCAATTGATAGGAAATGAAAAATTCGTTTCCGGGCAATCCTAATCACAATGAAATATAATTGTCATCGTCACTTTCAATGTTTAGTTATGGTTTGAAACATAAAATTTATGCCACAAATAAGAAAAATCGGGAGAGGCCGTTTGTGTGCGTGTACCAAATAAAAAAAAATGTTTTTGAAGTTCTTCCAAACCAAGAAACAAAACTAAGAAAAATGAGAATCAGAGAGGGCAGACAATTAAATAAAAATGTTTAAAAAAACGCAAATTCCTCTCTGGAGCGATCTGGCAGGTCTAAATGCTCACTACCACCCACTTTTTTTCCAATAAAATAAATATTTACAGATTGCCAGTTTATTTAAATATGCCCCGTTAAACAATGGTATATTTATAGAAGAAGCCGTAAAAAACGGCGCGAACATGTAAACAATACCCGTTGGGGAGCGATAAGAGTATGGCATTTATTTTTATTGGAAAATTGATACGCCGACCACATACGGGACGGAAATGCTTATTAATTCAAGATTGCCGTTCGATTTACTGGATATTTCAATGGCAAAAGGCGTTAACAAATGCAAATTCCGAGAAAAAAACTCGAGAAAGATGACGATTTTTAATCAAGCAGGGATAAAATTAGAAGTGGCTTGTTCCGTTCGGATAGAAAGCGCCAGCTAGACGACGGCGCTGTATCTAAAAATAGGGCTTGATTCGGGTAAGTCTCGCAGGTAAATCTGGAACCAATCTAGTAAAAAAATTAACTTTATTGCTCGCATAGAAATGTCGCAAGCGAGAAGTAAGAACAATATAGAATGCCGATGGAATAGGGCCAATAACAGCAGCAGTTGCCCACGTGACTATCAATTACCTGTCAAAGTTATGTTAGAGCTGTCAACGCCAACCTCACATCGACATACTGCATATAGAAAACAGTTTTCTTTTTCAGTCGGTTGACTCATCCGGAAAGCAAATTTCCCATATTGATGGAAGTAGGCCGTTGGGTTGATTTTTTAAGTTTCGCTATTCAATTCGTAATTTATTGGCCATTGTACACCTAAATACGGCCGAGTGGCAAGCGCGTAGGTCTTCAATGGACGTATTAGAAAGCGCGACTGTGTGAATTCGCCTTAAAAGGCGCGCTAATCGGCTATTTCAGATTACGCTGATAAATTTGAAAATTGGACTTTCGCAGCCCAGCAAATGGGGTTTTAGTGCGGCACTTTACTCGATTTTTTCGGTGATTTTCTCACAGGTTTCAAACAGTCCTCACTAAGTACTATGTGAGACCAGCGAGTGAGTTGATCTTTGCGCCATTGAATAAATAATATGCCACGCAAATGTTTGATAAGAAAGTTACTTACTCGAATTTTTGGAAATTGTCTCGAATTAGATGGATTTTTCAAAAATCCCTCACTAAAAAGCGATCAATTGGGACTTGTTGCTTGAGCAGTCCAGCAAATGGGGTTTTAGTGCGGCATTTTACTCGATTTTTTGGCGATTTTCTCACAGTTTTCAAAAGTGCCTCATTAAATACTATGTGAGACCAGCGAGTGAGTCGATTTTTCCGACATCGAATAAATAATTTAAGTCACGCAAATGTTTTATAATAAAATTACTACTTAACTCGAATTTTTGACAATTGTAACGAATTAAATGGATTTTTCAAAAACCCTCACTTAAAAGAGATCAATTGAGCTTGTTGCTTAAGCAGTGCAGCAAATGGGGTTTTGGCAAGCAACAAAGGCTCTCTTCGTTGCCCATGGTCTTCCGGCTTTTGGCTCTTGAGCCAATTCAACTTTGTACGCATGAAGCTTCAAATCTTTTGTTAAAATTCGATGCATAGTGGTTGCGTAAACACCAATTTCCTGAGTTCTATGCCGAATTGATGTGGTTGGGCTTTCCTCAACATTTGCACGTACTGCTGCGATATTCTCAGTCGAGCGACCAAGACGAACGCGTGTTTCTGTTTTCACTTCAATAACACTCAGTTTGCTGAAATTTCTTCATTAATTTTCTCACAGTGGCTTCAGTTGGAACATTCCGATGGCCCATAATTGTACGCATTTTGCGAACTGTGGCTGCAAAACTTCCACCACTTTGAAAATAATTTTTCACAATGAGAATTCGTTGTGTATTGAACCGCTCCATTTTACTTAACCTCCTGTCTGCTAACAAATGGCCTTTTTTTTTAATGTCAAATCATGACTATAAATAGCGTGCAATTCACAACCGTCGTTCTTATTGGACAAATTGCCATTAGAAAATTATTGATTTACCTGATGTAAGTGTTATATCAGAAAAACCAGGAATTGTTCTTCCATATAGACAATCACCTAAAAACTTGGCAGCAACTTTCGCACGCTAATAGCCCAGGAGCGCAGCATGTAAATGGTGGGAATAAAGTGTCACGTTTCCGGTGCTGAAAACATGTTGACATGCTTATTTGCGTCACGGTCGC